TTAAGCTGAAAAAGTTGCCAAGTTTCCCTTTAAGGCAGTGGTTCCCAACCTGGGGGTCCGAAGGCTCACTGGGGACTCACGAGGCCTTCTTGTGGGAGGAAAAGTAATGGCCAAGCATCAGGGACAAGAAAACACTGAATTTTTGTCAAAAAAGAATCTTAAGATTAATTCTAATCTGTATGATTGTTAGAAAGGATAAAAATATATAATACAGACATTTTTACAATTATATTAAAAACAGGAAATAATCTGCAAATCTCTGCTTTTACACAAACTTCCTGCAGTTACTAAGTTCACTGTTTGGGTTTATTGTTTTAATATAATATGAAATATCCATAAAATATGAGAGTCAGTTTATTAAATGAACGAAAAGGAAAAAGGTTGGGAACCAGTGCTTTAAGGGTTGGTGGAAATATATGCTGATTTAATTGTAATCACATACATCAATATTTGCTTGGAAAAGCCCCAAAATGAAGATATTTAAACTTCCCTCAGAAGCATACTTGGAAGCCCATTTTTTTCAATATGACAGGAAAAATATTCTGTAAGTCATTATAATGAGAAACTTTCTCAAAATAATAACTTAGCATATCAAAATGATGACTTAGTTTACTAAAGTTTCTCAATATTTTGACTGGTATCTCTTAATAATGAGAAACATTATCAAAATATTAATTTATTATCACAAAGTCAATATTTTGAGAATGTTTCTCATTAAAATGACTTAAAGAATCCTTTTTCTTTTTTTAAATAATGAATTAATTGGTGTATGAGGGAGTTTGTATTAGTGGGTTTACTTTACTTTCAGTGTACTTATCTTGATATTAATGACATTTGTTTTTTTGCCAGTCGTGTGTCCCCTGCAGTAATTTCACTCTCGTGAGGAAACCCACAGACACGCAGTGCGGCTTCATGGTGAGTAATAAATCCCATTACTGCCATCTTGTGGCTGCAGATGGGAACTACTAACTAAAAACAACACAAACATCACTGATAAAATAAACTTTATTTATAACGTACTTTTCAAAGACAAGAGCCAAATATTTTATCCCAACCGGCAGCTTTACCTCCTGATTTAAAGTTTTACCTCCCAGCAGTCCTGAGCTGAGTGTCTTTTACTGTCTGATTTAACAAATATCACATAAAGGTCACAAAGTTTTCAAATATCGGTTCCAAAGCAGAGACGGGGACTGTCTAAGCTCTTCTTGTGGATGTTTTTGCCAAGACTCAGCATCTCAAATTGCAAATCCTTTTGAAATGACATCAGCCTGAAATCCTGAACCAAACGGGGCCTGAAAGGGGCCCCGTTTGGTTCTTGTCTGTGAATGTGATACTGTTGTTATGACAGACGGCCCCAAAGTCTGGCGGTGCTCTTTTTAAGTTGCCACCATCTTTGGAGCTGTCCTACGATTACACACAATAACAAAAAGTCCAGCCTCAGATGTTTCTGTTGGGTATAAATATGCAGATTTAAAATAATTTTCAGATTTCCGTAAAGAATGGATGGTATGGTTTTATTGAGCTTTTCGCTGGCAGTTTGGATTGATGCCTCGGTTCTGGATCAGAGGTCAGAGGTCAGGTGAGGGAGGGTTTGGGTTGGTATTTCACTCTGTTGAAATCGTCCACTGTAGTTTCTACTGGAGGCGTCTTCCAGTATTCCTCCAGACCCAACGCCAGACAGAGAGCAATGGCCGCCATCTGCAACACGCACACACTCCATTACACTGCACATTATGTTCAGGCATCACGTGGTATGCTAGTTAGTTAGCTCTCTCTAGACGTTATGGAGCCACAGGTCTAGAAAATGATAACATCGTCCAGATTTATAAATTCTTCTTGAAACTTAAACTCATCTACAGATAAAATATTTTTTGGGGGGAAAACAACAAACTTGCAAAACTTTTCTAGAAGCTCAAAAGCAGTTTGAATAACTTTAAACTCACAGAAATTCATCAAAAAGCTCCTCAAGTCTCCATGAAATCCAGAAGGTTTTTCTAAACTACAGTTAGTTTGTAAAGATTTATAAATTCTTCTAGAAACTTCGAAAAACTCATCTATAAATAAACTATTTAAGAAAGAAAACTCAACAAACTAAAAGCTCTAAAACCTTTCTGACTCTACAATTACCTTTTATACATGTTTCTTGAAAAAGTCGTCCAGATGTAAAAATTCATCTAGAAATTCAAAAACTCATCTTTAAATAAAATATTTCAGAAAAAAGAACAACTCTGCAACAAAAATGCAAACTTCTCGAGAAGCTCAAAAGCTCTTTGAGTAACTTTAAACTCACAGAAATTCATCTTGAAGCTCTTCAAGTAACTCAAAAACTTTAGAAATCTAAAAGTCATCTAAAAACTTTAAAACCTTTCTAACGCTACAATTACCTTTTCAAGAGACTTGTAAAGCTTCCAGAAATGTATCAATTGTTCTAACTTATCTAAAATCTAGTTTACATTCATTCATAAACACTTCTGGATCTGCACCTCTTTATGCATTTAGTCAATCCAAGATGCTATAGTAAGATTATAAGATCAACTTCTTTCACTATTAATTTGATATATTTCAATCAATGCATTGTCTACATAAAGATGTTAATTATATTGTTTTAAAGTAACAAAGAGAGAAGAAATAGTTCAGTTAAGAAGGAAGACTGTGTGTAACAGTGTACCGTGATGGTGGCGACGGCTGAAATGATTCCTATCCTGAGTTTGATGGGGAAGCTCAGGTAGCTCTTCAGGATGGAACCACAGGGCTGCCGCAAACAGAGGTCAAAGGTCAGCATTCAATGTCGATTAAAAAACAGATCAGAAGCTCAGATTGATGTCAGCTTGTCCAGACGTACACAAACAACAACAAATGTACGAGAGCAAAATGTGAATTATAGAATGAACAGTAGGAAGGGAAGTGCAGCGGAGAGAGAAACACTGTTGAAAGAAAGGAAATGAAATGAAACACAGGAAGAGGAAAAGAGCAAAAGAAAGAGGAAGCCTGGAAGAAAGAAGAGAGGAAATGAATAGAAACGGCAATTCAGGAAGAAGTGGCTGGAAGGGAGAGAAAAATAACAGAAACAGGGAAAGGCAGGAAGAGAAGAATACCTTGGAGTGAACACACTGAGCTGTGATCTGAGAGGTCGGAGGGTCGCCGCCCACCATCACACAGTCAGCGTTAGAGTTACCCACCTCAGAGCTGTGAAACAAAGAGGAGAACAAAACCTAATCAGAATCTCTGGAACTCACGAGCCACAAAACGTTCAGTGTGATTTAAAACAGTAGAAGGTGCGTTGACACATTTTTTTTATAAATGTGGTACTAATGTCAATTTTAACAGCAGCAATGTGTTTCACCATCGTTCGTCATATATAATTCAGTTTACAGCTCAAAACACGTAAAAATAAGTCACAGAAATCCTGAAATTCATCCAAAAGCTAAAAAGTTATTTTAAAAAATCTGAGAATTCTTCAATTTTTCAAATCCAGAAATCCACTAAACCTAAACTCAAAAACCTTTCTAACATACAAGTAGCTCCTAGATCGATTGTACAATAATTGAGACATTTAGACATTTAGAAAAAGATATCTAAACATTATAAACTATTTACTATTTTAAAAACGGATAGCAATTCTTCTAGAAAAGCTTTTTGAGTTTTGATTGTTTCGTTACCTCGGCTGCGGGTTGGAGATTGGGCGAGGAGTGGGTGGCGTGCAGAAACAGGAAACAGGAAGTTGATTCTCCCAGTCCTCAAATTTCCTCAAACCACAACAAGAGTCCTGAGACACAGACAGTGATTACGGATTCAAACTCAATGTTGAGTTATGTTCAGTGTTCAAATTTAAAGATATATTTAATTTATGGGCGCCCAGTTAGCTCAGTCGGTAGAGCTGGCTACCAATATATTCCGACCTGCGGCCCTTTGATGCGTGTCATCCCCTCTCTCTGTCTACCCACCTTTCCTGTCTCTCT